GGGTCTCACGCACCCGCCCGTCAACCAGGTCTGGAGGAGACAGCTGAGGGCTGGCGAAGCGGAGGAGGTGTTCCCCCCGCCCGGGGAAAAGCCGGTTGGGGGGGACAGAGAGGGTGGGGAGGGAAGGGAGGGGGGAAAATGTGCATTGTGTGTGACTTTAGTTTGGTGCTGGGCAGGCAAGGAGGGCAGGCAGGCATCCCTCCAACCTCTTTCTTCTCCTCCATCCCAACCCATCAATGGGCAGCGGCCTCTCCTGGTGTCCCTCCGTCCCTTTTTCCTGCCTGGATTCAGGACCTCTTGCCCAGAGCGGGCATTATTTACCCATAGACCTTACAGAACCATTTTGGGGAAGGGGGAGAAGAGATCCCCCCATTTGGAGGTGGTCAGAGAGTGAGGCTCGCTTGCTCCAAAGGCTTTATCCAACTGTAGAAGATGCTGATCATCCTGTTCAAGGGTGAAAATTGAAAAGCCCCCGTGACTTCCCAAAGAGCTGCTTTTGGTGGGTTTTTTGTTTTTGTTTTTTTTTTTTCTTTTGTAAGAACCTCATGAGAATCATCTTTGCGGGAACTCTCGGGTGAAATCCCCTTTTCTGCTGTAGAGCAGCTGGAAAGCCATTGGCTTTTGGAGGTGGCAGCTCAGATGGTTGTTTGGGAAGAGAAATCACCCCCATGGAGAGGAAGAGCAGGAGAGGACAACGGGGCAGGGCTGTGGAAACTGTGGTGGAAGGGATGGGATAAAACAAGTGGGAGATGAGCTGGGGGAGCCGAGGCTGGAGACCCAGCGGTGGGGTGGAGATGCCTCTCTGGAGAGCAGGAGAAGACAACAGCCATGAGGAACCCATGGGGATGCCAATGGCACCTCCTGGTGACACCAGAACCAGTTTGGGACCCCACCAACAGCTCATGACCAGCCCAGGAGGTGCTTTGTGGGAGCTGCTGTGCCATCTCCTGGGTGATCTTTGCCTCCAGAGAGCTTGTAGTGAGATCCTTCCCAGTGGGAGAAGAAGGAGAGTCTCCTTTCTACTGGGGCCGGGCGGTGGGTATGTCCCCTCCTCTCCCAGTTGCCAGCAGGCAGTGGTCCCAGTGCCGCCATGTCCTGGCACCTCGTCACCCTCCAACCCTGATGCTATCAGAGGGTTTGGTCTCTGCTGTGACCAGATAAAGCTCTCCAAGCTCCGATTCAGGTCTGGAGGGAACCATGTCTCTTTACCTGTGCCGTGAGATGCTCGCCTGGACCCCAAAGCCCCAGGGTGGGGGACACACCAGCCCGGGGAGGGGAAGGTGGGAGAGGGCAGCTGGCGGAGGAGATAGAGGGGGGTGTTGTAGCTGTGACATGAGCTGTCCTTTTTTTGTACACAACGGTTGTAAATAAACTGCCTTGGCATTTCTTTCATTTTTCTCATGAGCTGTGCAGTGTCTTGTGTGCGGTTTTGTCTTTTTTTTTTTGGGGGGGGGGAATCCCAGGGTTGCTTACACTGGGGAAGGGACTGGGTGGGGGGAAATTAGGGTGGGAGGCAGCATGTGCATCATGGGGACGGGTCTGTTTTACTCCATATGCCCCAAAGGGGTGGGTGACACCAAAATTTAGGACCAGCCTCTCAGAGGGGCCAACTGTCCATTCCTCCAGGGTCAAGGAGGTCTACTCTGACCTGGTCATCCCTGACCTGGACTAAGGACGTCCCCTCTGACCCTTGGAAGCCTTAGAAGATGGGTGTCTGCCCAAAGAGCTGGTGGTCCCTTGGAAGATGGGTATCCACCCAAGGAGTGGGCAGTCCTTTGGAAGATGGGTGTCCACCTACAGAGCTGGAGGTCCCTTGGAAGATGGGTGTCCACCCAAGGAGCTGGTGGTCCCACAAGTGTGGGATTTGGTGCCAACATTAAGACAAATCCCAGGATGGGACTCGGACCTCCCCGTGAACACAGCAGCCATGCTCAGGGGTTTCCACCATGCTCAGGTGCAACAGTGAAGGGGCCATATCAAAAGCCAGCCACCA